CTCCAGATCCCCCGTCCATGGTCTTTCTGGCGGGAGTGCAGCTGCTGTTAGGCCTCCACAGTCTGAAAAGTGTCTGGGAAGGAAGTTCCTTGCACGAAGTACGGACTGGAAGCCCTGCTGTTTTTGTTTTGCTTTTCTTTATGCTATCTCACCGTGTTGCCCGGGATCATCTTCAACTCCTGGGCTTAAGTGATTCTGCCAACTCACCTGCCCAAGTAGCTGGGGGACTGTAGGCACCCATCAAATACCCAGATAACTATCCTGACATTTAAAACTATTTCCCATTGAATTTACTAATTTGTAAAGAAATGACATTTTTTCATTGTCAACTGACTCCAATCATTATCGTGGTATATCTTATTTAATTCACCCCCTCCTGTATATCTTTTTGTTGTTGTTTTTTTTAATTTTTGTTTGAGACAGGGTCTCACTATGTAGTTGAGACTGACCTGGAACTACAGAGCCCAGGCTGGTCTGGAACTCACAGAGATCCTCCTGCCTCAGCCTCCCAAATCTTGGGATTATAGGCATGCGCCACCACACCCGGCTTCTCTTATATATCTTTAATGGATTTTTTTCTTCCTCTAGATATTGTGAATAATTCCTATAAATGAATTCCTAGATGCTTTATGCTTTTATTTTTTATTTATTTTGGTACTGGGGATCGAACTCAGGTCCTTGAAAGGCAGGTGGTGGAACCACTGAGCTAAATCCCCAGCTTATGCTTTTATGTATGTATGTATTTATTTATTTATTGGTACTGGGGATCAAACTTGGGTCTTTGCACTTGCAAGGCAGGCAGCAGAACCACTGAGCTAAATCCCCAGCTTATGCTTTTATGTATGTATGTATTTATTTATTTATTGGTACTGGGGATCAAACTTGGGTCTTTGCACTTGCAAGGCAGGCAGCAGAACCACTGAGCTAAATCCCCAGCTTAAGCTTTTATTTATTTTTTTGAACTGGGGCTCAAACTCGGGACCTTGCATTTACAATGCAGGTGGCAGCACCACTGAGCTAAATCCCCAGCCCCTTATGCTTTTATTTTTATAAAAACATGTCATTTTCCATTCAGTTTCCTAATTAGAGCAGAGGATGGTTTCCCATGTCTGTGTTATGCAGAGCTGGAGCACTGGAAGCAACAGGCCTGGCAAAGGATGGGGTAGGGTGTCTGGTCACTGTGTCCTGTGCACAGAAGCACAGGGATTTGCAGAGATCTTAGGTTGAGAGGTTCAGATAAGGGTACCACCATGAGAAGCAACCTCACTTTCTGGATAGTCAAACTTGCAGCCTGGTAGCCAGGCACCCACATTCTACTTGTCAGTTGGCACAGGAGAGAGCAGGATGTGTACCTGTGGTCTCCCAACCTGCCAAGGCTCAGACTTGAGATGGCACAGTGTCCACCGGGCCAGCCCTCACCCGAGCCTCTGGTCACTTTCCCGTGGGGGTCCAAGATGGCACAGTGCAAGGAAGAGCAGTTCAATACAGCCCTCCTACTACTCGCAGCCCACTAGGGGGGCCTGACACCTCTCTGGATGTGCATGTGTAGAAGAAAATTCTTTGGGAAGGAGTCTTTCTGTAGTACATTACCATTTCTATGTCTGACCCCTTTCCTTTGTCCCACCCCAAGGTAGAAGTGAATTACTCCTCCTCCTGAATGAGCCTTCAGTGTGAGGAGGACCCTACAGCCAGCCTCAAGACACCTGAGGAAGATACTGAACCACCTCTTTCACACCTGCCCTACTGAGTGGTGAGCCTCCTTCCTGTTTGGCTTTCTGCAAAGCTACAGATGATTTGGGAACACACAGCAGGCGCTACACCTCATGCTCACAAGCTTTGTACTCCAATTCCAAGGCCAGAGGTAGTTCATTTGGTCATGGGAACACCTTTCATCTTTCTAAGCCAGTTTGCTCTGAGGAACCAAGAGTGCTTTGAGGACCCTTTCATGAGGTGTTGGCAGGAGCAAGGGGAGTGAGCCCTGGTAGTGCCTGCCCTGGGCTTTGCACTGCAGTGGGTTTCCTGGGGCTGTGGATGTGGACCTCTCTGGTGTGCCTTTGGCTTCCCATGAAGTTCTCAGCCTCTGGATTCATTTACTTGAAGCCTAGGGCTGAGCAGTTTCCCCAAGTGAGAAGTTTCCACATTCCACCGGGGGTGAGGGGTCCCTATCCTGGATGCAGCCAGAGCAGGAACACTATTGGTCAACTCAGGGGGCCAGTGACCTACTGAGTTTTCTAGACGGAACTGGTTGAATCCATTTACTGTACAAACACATGAAGTACCTATTGTGTGCAGGTTCATTTCTAGGTACTTTGTATAATTCAGTGCAAAATACAAGAAAATCCTACCTCTGCTGTCCCACACCCTGGGATTCAGCCAGGGCTGTAAGACATCACAGCAGATGAGACACCTGTATCACCTCCCCTGGGTGTGGCTGCACCCTCCCCTTTTCCACTGAGGATGGCGGGTCTTGGCAGAACTGAGAAAGTGAGAGGCTCTGAGCCAAGAGGGACCCTTCTGTTTCCAAAGTGGGGATGTGGGGGGGCTGTTGCTGCTACAGGGCCCGAGTCCCAGGCTCAGCTTACAGGAGAACAAAGTCAGAGAAGCTGGTAGGATCCATGTGATATGGGATGTAGGGCCTGGCAAACCTGGCTGGGGAAATAAGTGGGACCAGTCAGTTATAAGATCAAGGACAGCACCAAATAACCCACAGGACCTGGCATGTGGAATTTCTCGTGGGTTTCCACAAGATGTGGGCTGCACAGAAGGACACACACCATCAGAAGCCTGCAATCGTGACTCCTCACGTTAGTGCACTCTGCATCTCCTAGATGCAGAATACTTATTTTTGCTTTTATCCTTACTTCTTGGTTCAGCCCAAGTTTGCTCTACAGAGCCAGTTTTTCCCTTACTCCTTTGTTTTTCAGTCTTTAAGTAAACGTATGGTACCATTTCTGGCCTGTCTCGTACAGTTCTTTGAGGCAAGAACCTGGAATACTTTTATCGGGCGAGCCATTTCTAAAGGAAACTACCTGACAACACACGTATCCTGGGGACAGTAGGGAGGCTGGGGCTCTGAGCTATGCTCCGTGAGGATCTAGTACAATCACAGCCTTCCAAGCCCAGTGTGCACCATTCCCCATGGGGACGAGCAGGTGTGAGGAACAGCCTGCTCACACCTGGCCTCACTCCTTGCTGCTGCATGCTCAGCTGGTGCCCAGGGCATGCTGTGCACTTAGGAGAGGGCTGAATGGGAAGACAAGACCCATCTGGGTCCCACAAAGATCAGGAGGGAGCCTAGAGGCATAAGCCTCAGACTGAGGTGTCACTGGACTCCTCTGGATGCCAGGCAGGAGCACCATGCCTCCGGGATTTTAGGGTCCAGTGGGCAGTGAGGCCAGAGAGCAGGGTGCAGGGCTTCTCCAAAGGGGAGAAATGGAAAGAAAGTATCAGCCCCCCCCAAAAAAATGAAAAAAGAGAAAACCAAGTAAAAATTGAATTTTTAAAAATCCTTTATATTTTTAAATGAGTGGTTTCTTTTAAGAACCACAGTTTTGGAATCCAGGAAGTCATATTTTCTCTGCCTAACTTTATGGCCTATAGGTTTGTGAGGTGTCGGGTTTCAGTTCACCATAGGCTGTGCCAGTTGTCCAACATGGGTGTGTTGCTTGTTGGCAGATGAAAGCTGTCAGACCTCTAATCTTATGGAGTCATCAGGGCAAAGGTACAAGTAGACTGCTGTACTTAGTGCCAGCACTTTCACACCCAGCCATCTCCGAAAGCCATACGTACCAGACCTGGCTTCTTACCCTGGAGGGTGGGCCACCATGGACTGGTCCACTGAAGAGTTTATAGTAAAATGTGATGTTGGGAGGCGAAGGCTGGTTGGAGGAGGTGGATCACTGAGGGCGTGGCCTGGAATGGTCTGTCTCTCTGTCTCCCTTCCTCCTTCCTTTGATCTTTCTGCTGCTTGGTCATGATTAGATTCTCCTCAGCCAGGCCCCTCTGTCATGCTGCACTGCTTTGGAGACCCCTGGCTGGACTGAAACCTCTACAAACTGTGAGCCAAAATATAACTTTCTTCCTTAGCACAAGAAAGTAATTAAGACAGCACCCATATGCCAGAGACTGTTGCTTGCTCTGGGAAAGCACCTGACTCTGCAATCCCCAGTGTTCTGAGGCGCCACATGTTCTAGGGAGCACACCGCTCCCTAAAATGAAACTGACTGAACTTGTACGTCACCCACCACGACTGCCTGTCCCTGACCATGACCTGTCTGCCAGATAAGCCACAATGCCAACCCCACCAGGACTCTGCCCAGACTGCAGCCACACCCGAGGGCTCCGAGGCTCCTCCTTGTTCCCTGTCCCAGGCCAGTCTGGGAGCCAACTTCCTGGGAGGCCCCAGCACACCGCCCTCATCCTGTGCTCTGCTGTGTGCTGCCCAGGCCCCTCACCCTCAGATTTAATTTCAGTGTTGACACTTTGCAATAAATTTGCGGTTTGGGCATTTGGTATCTAAAAGGTTCATCATCACAGGTCTAGGGGATAACGCTATTTTTGAAAAGCACAGTTTTTGTACCTCCAGGATCAGTCTATTCCTTCACCAGTATTATCACAATTTTTAAAACTTTCCTAGTTTGATAGGAAAAAAGGGAGTCTCAATCTCCTAGTTATTTCTAATTATAATTTCTCATTTTGCTCATTTTGTTAGCAGTTGTGATTCATTCAAGAACTGTCTGATTTGCCAGGCTAGTATTTTTCTTACAGATCTAAACATGCTCAGTAACTCTAAAGGAACCACGAGTCATATTTTCATCTCCATGGCCATACTCCAGACACAGCACCTGCTACCTCTACGTGAAAATGTGGCAGTGTCTTTCCAAATGACAGTGACAAGGTTTTCCATAGCCTTTCTTCTCCGGGTGTTCTGAATGACTGTTTCACCTCCTGCCTAACTTTTTCTGGCTTAAGTGAAGCTATGGCTGAAGCTGTCTTCCTACCTCCCAGCTTCTGCTCACACTCTTCTCTCCGCCGTCTTACACCCAGCCACAGTGACCCCAGAGTTGGTACCCGATGAAGAGTATTTAATGAAATGCCACACACCTGAAAAGGGAAGAAAGGAAAAGTAAGGGAACATCTAATTTTATTTTTAATGAAACATTTGGTTTTAGTAATGGATTAATATAAAACACGTGACCCCAACAGAAAACAGTCCTACAAGACACCCTCTTGGTTTATTTCACCATTTTCCCTTCTTTAAATGACAACTATGAAACAGAAAACCAAATACTACTGAACTATGAATAATTTTTGAGGCAGACAAGCATTCATGCTGTGGCCCCTTATTTTGCTTTGCCTTAATCCCAAACAGCAATAAAACAGAACCCACAGAGCTATTTAGGGACAAAGGAGGTACAATGGGATATTTTATTTCTCCACAGGAAAAATAAAAGTGTAGGTTTCTTGATGGGTGTCCAGCATATATTTATGCTTCTCAGTCTATCTGGAGGGCCTTGCAGACATTTCCAGAGAGAGCCTGCAAGTGTTCATATTTAGTTGAAAGCAAATTGCCTTTAGGAAACAAAGTAGACTACATGTTGGCAAAAGCATCTTTCTTATACCTACAGTGAATCAAAGACTGATCTAAGCTGAAGTTGACCTAGAAAATGCATTTGTAACAAGTACTTTCCTCCCTCCAGAATGACAGTAAAAATGGACACTGTATGACTATAACGAAGATAGCAGTGGAAAGATGTTAGGATCTAGCGCCACTCTGTGGTGGCTATTCCAATCCTAAACTGCTTTTATCATTTGAACATAATAATTATGGAAGAAGTTATTTTGTAAGGGACAACAAAATAATAGAAACAACTAGTATTTGACCACAATTTATAAACAAAGCACTCTCCTTTCCTCCCCTCCCCTCTCCATTCTTTTTTCCCATCTTTTTTCGATGCTGGAGATTGAAACCAGGACCTTAGCATTAAGCTACATCCCCAGCCTTTTTTATTTTGAGACAGGGTTGTTCTAAGTCACTAGAAGTTGCCCAGCTGGGGTTGAATGTGCGCTCTTCCTGCCTCATCCTCCCAGAGTGCTGAGATTACAGGTGTGTGCCACCATGCATAGCTACGATCTCAATCTTCAACACGTAAAAACTGAGGTTTACAGAAGTTGGTGACTGACCTTGAATTGAGATGGTCATACTGCAAATTCTGTAATTTAGTTTTAGTATACTATTTTATAATGTATATTTAACTAAATAGTATATATCAAAAGCTCCAAGGAAATGTACAATACTGTATAGTACATGATATAAAATATACATATACATATCATACAGGTATTCCTTGTTTAACAACCTACCTGGTTAACGACTGTTTGCACTAATGAAGCACATTCAAATTAAGGTGGCAGTGCGGCCTTATGGTGGCTTCTTCTATGTCTGTGCTGCAAAGTATGTCCTATTCTTCATTTAGCAACCAATTCACTTAACGACCTAGACACAGGAATGTAACTCGGTTGTTAAAGGAGGAATGTCTGGACACATATACATTCCCACTATGAACTAACACCGGTTGCTGTGGTATTATTAAGCAATACTTACTACCTTTCTGATGGCTGTTTCACGTGTATGAAGATGAAGGTGTAATAGCTGACTTCATGGTCTGTATGAATTCACAAATGCTAAACTCTGATTAGAGTTGTGATATTAATGATGGCCTCACCTTGGTCTCTGGGCACCCAAACTGTGGGAGAACATGCTCCCTGATGTCTTTATTTGGCTGTCACAATGGCAGTTTACCCAGGGAGAAGAGATACAGTACACTGAGATAGGGAACTGAGGACGTTTTCATTATACTTACCCCTACCCCTAGTACTGAGGATTCAACTCAGGACTTTGTGCTTGCCAGGCAGGCGCAGTGCCACTAAGCTAATCTCTGGATCTCTGGCCCTTATACTTAATCTTTTTAAGATAATTTGTTTTGAATTTCTTTTACCAATTTATTGGCTAACAGCTAACACATCTGTGAACTAGGTCATCCCATTCAGCTAACAAGAAGTGTATCTTCCCACCAATATATCTTGTGGGGGGGTGCTCAGCTGTTGTTGGATGTGGGCATGCCATTAAACCAGAGATAAGCCTAACTGAAAACACGGGCAGCCTGGCTTTACTGGGTAAGAATTTGGGGCCGCCATTGCTCCTGTTGGTAGAAACAACTCCAAGTTGTGCCTGGAGAAAACCACTGTTCCACTTCACAGGTGTCCCCTCAGCCAATTACTGGTAAAAATATAAAGACCCTTGTTTATGGCCAGATAGGAAACTTTTAACAAAATTTTAAGTAAAGACATTGGAGTAAAGGAAAAAAATAGTTGAATGCACTGATTGTTAGCATACTAACTCCATTATAGGTCTTACATAGTTAAGATGAATTACAAACTTGACTCCCTGGAGTCCAAGGAAAGAGGGAGACAGGTCTAGACTCAAGGTAAACCTGAAGCAGCTGCTCTGAGCACTTGCAACAATTTCACCTTGAAATAAATATAAGTATCAAAGTACTGTTCCTTAAGTGATTTTTCTTAATGAAGTTACAGTATTATCCCGGAAGAACTAGCCAAGTACTTGGTATGGCAGAGAGAGCTGAAAGGAGATACACCAGGTGGGTTTTAGAATCCCCAAAAAGATTGGTGAACTGTTGGTGACTCTGATAATCCTTTGTCAATAATATTCTTGGTCAAGGTTTTCCTCCCTGAGAGGCACAGCTATTGGAGGTTGCTGACCCAGGGCAGACTATCTGCCCAAGAGACTTGTGAAAGTGACCAAAGAAAGCAGAACAAGTGGATGACTCTGGCCAGAAACTGGCCCAATTACAGAGGGCATCACGAGTCAGCCAAAGATACGGCACAAGTGGTAAATGTGGAATACTGGTCTTAAAGAGGCACATAAATGAATGAGAGAAAAAGAAAAATGTACCAGAGACATTAAGAAAAAAGAACAATCCTTCAAGCTAAAAATATACATGGGTGTTATTTTAGTATATTCAGCCTCATTTTTCTACAGGGTTGTCTGCTGAGCTGCATGGAGGCACATTTAGAGCTATGATAAGAATCCCCTTAAGTGTTAGAGCATTCTTGGGCTTTCCTTGATGGAATTTCAGTTGGACAACATGGCTAAACTATGTTACACCATGAAAGTTTATTTTCAGGCTTCCCAGTTTTATTTGCATTTATATAATACACATGTATAGCCTCCTTTTCAATATAAAACTGTCTTTCCTCATTTAAAAGTTAAAATATAAAAACAAACCAAAAACAGCAATTCTTAAACTCTGCTCTTCAGGGGCAGGCACAATCACCAACCTGGTGATGCAAGGTTGCAGGGCTGAGGTCCTGCGGAGGTTTTCGAAATTTACTTTGGAGGAAAACTCTTGGCACACACAGGTCTTCTTTTTTATTCACTGTCTCTCGGAACACATACTCGCTTATCACTTCTTCATAACCTGTCCCCACAAAAAGCTGAGCCAGGAATTCTATAAGACAAGCAGGTTGGCAACGCTCAATGACTTGGTACTGTTACATTCACTTTGCAGTGGTGAAGGGGAGGGGTGGAGGGCTAAAGAGGACTTTTATTTTGTAATGAAACACTTTGCAGACATTAGATTACATGTTTTCTCAATTATTTATGGCTAATCAGATTTTATCAATTAGAAATATAAAATATCTTTTCGATTTTCATCTATTTTTATGACTGTAGTTTTAATGATAATCATTCATTTTTAATTTTCAGTATCTAAAAGTATATCAAGACATACTAGTATCTGTAAAAACAGATCATGAAGATAATAATGGTCTAGATTACTAGGTAGACTTAAAACTAGCATTCATAACACTGGAAAGACTAAAATACAGCATTTCCTTATCCAAAATGCCTTTAAAAATATCCCCTCTATTGTAAAGTTGTATTTTTTAAAATATTCAATCCCTTTTATTGAAAAAGGCTTCTTACCTCTATAACCTGGGAAAGTAATCTCAAGGGATTACACTGTCTTGTTTACTTTTGACTGAACAAAGTGAAATTTGATTTCTCTACCCCTTTTCCATCACAATTCTCACGGGGCATCCGGGTGGTATGCCAACTCCAGGTTCCCTAAATGGGCACTGCCACCAGACATCAGTGGCATGCGTGTGGGGCAGCATGTGTCCCGGGTTCTTGTGCATGTGCATGATGTGCAGCTGAAGCCCTCCACCCCTCCCAACCAGCTGTGCAGTGATAATATAATCAAGCAAACAGAAGTAAATAAAACATTTTAATGATAGATTCCATTCCTTACCCTCAGTAAAAAAATATGATCTGGTTCCATCCTGTCTAACATAAAAGTTCTCTCCAAGTTTCCTGCTGCCTTTAAACCTAAGCATGGTGTGATCATACAGCCCATAGTCACGGAACAAGACACTTTTCCCTGGTTTTAATACCTACAAAACAAAAGCAGCCTACATGTAACTTTGTAGAACCCCACAAATAAACTACAATCTATGTTAGGAATTACAATAACTCAACATTTATGGTAATTATGATAGGGGCCAGGCTGAAATAACCATAGCATGAAGGAAAAGAGCCTTTTAGTAAAAGGGACATAAGACCTGACAGAGGGCCACAGCGCTGGAGACATTTTTTTCCCAAGTTTATTGGTACATTTTAGGTATACAGTACAGTTACATTCATCATTGGGATCTTGTATCTTACATGATGTATCTTGGTTCTTATTTTTTCCCATTCCCCTCCCTTCTCTTAACCCTTCCACCCTTCTCTATTTACTAAGTGGAGACATTTCTGAGCACCTTCCAGGGCTTTCTAATGACTAGGGTCACACAATTAAAACACAAAAGGTAATAAACAAAACAGCCCTATCCTCATTAAAGCAAATTCTCTCAACATTTTGTTAGCTATTTCCTAGTACTCAAACTGTATTCCACTGTCTTTAAAAAAGACCTCTGTTTTGGCCTCTTACCGATTCAGGCTGGTTTTCTTCATTCTATGTCTCAGCTCTGGTTTCACTGTGCCATAGCAACATGTCACTCACCCACCACGCTAAAAACTGATAACATGGCTGGCTCTCGGCAGTTGCCATTTTCTCACTGGATTGCTGCCCAGTTTTGAAAGGAAGGAGTGTGATTATTATCCTCAAGTGAGATGAGGGAAACGACAGTCGAAAAGGTTAAGTGATAAGTTCATGATCACTCACTAGCTACCAAGGACTCACACTTAGATCGAGCTAAGTGAGTGGATAGACACTTTTGCTAGCCCTGGGGGAGAAGAGGGGAGGGATATTTCTCCCCTGTATCTCTCATGATATGTGTGGATCATGAGGCCAGAGTGCAACAGCTGAGGGAGGGGACCAGTTCAGAACCAGATGATTCCCACATGAAAGCCTTTTAGAGATTAGCTATCAGAGAGTAGGAGTCTCAAAAATGAGAAGGCAAGATCAGGAGGGCATGGTTACACCTGTCTTACAAAGGAAATAGCCATATGCTTGTTTTTTATATGAAAATTCTTTCAAATGGTATAACACTACTAAATGAGAAACCTCTTCAAAGAAGGCATTGATTTTATTAAATCTTATTCTCCCATCTGAGTACTAACTAGGCCTGACCCTGCTTAGCTTCCAAGATCAGAGGAGATCGGGGGCATTTAGGGTGGTACAGCCATAGACTATGAAATCTATTCTTACCCACCAATTTTTCCAAACATAGTTTGATGTACTCCTTTCTAACTAGAAAGGATTACCCACAATGCTTCTCAATAGACTCATCAGTACTAGCACACCCTTTACATGTTGTCAGTAAAGAGCCTCTTAGATAAAAACATTACTACCTTGGAAGAAAGGCTAAGTTTTCAAATGTTAATAATTAAGAAGGAAAAATTCTGAAAAACTTAGTTCACATGGGACTCATTCTTCACTTCAGAAGGAAGGAAAGAACACTCATTTAGGACTTGGGAAATTACAATTCAAACCCCAGTTCTTCCCATTATCTAGCTGAATGCTAAGCAAGGAATTTCATCCCTCAAAATGTTTTATCTGTAAAATAATAATTATGATGCCGGACGCCTGTAATCCCCAGCACTAGGGAGGCCGAGGCAGGAGGAATGCTGTGAGTTCGAGACCAGCCCGGGCTACATAGTGAGTTCCAGGCCAGTCTCAACTACATAGTAAGACTCTGTCTCAAAAAACCAAAAAAAAAAAAAAAAAAAAAAAAAAAAAAAAAAAAAAAAAAAAGGATATTATAACAAAT